CCTCAAGAATACTACTTCCATTGTATGGCTGGCCGTGAAGGGTAAATTAAACTTCTTCTGACTTAAGTTAATCCTGACGAATATTATGTGTGATTTGGCATAATCAGACGTAGCTATTTGTGTTTTTTCTTCCCAAAAGTTAATTGGTTTATGCATCATATTTCTGCATTGAACCTCGTCCTATCTATTTGAAAATTAAAGTTAAGTTTGGATTCCCTATAATCATTCCAGTTCAAGATTTGATCTTGTTCACTGACCAGAAACTAGAAGAAGTTTAAAAGTTGTCCACAGGTTATGATATTTTAATTTTGCTGTCTAAGAGGTTTCTGAACTTTAATAATCTTTAAGCATCATTGAAGGACAGCAAGGTGAGAAAACCCCTTTATGGAAGCATTCTTGATCTGCATTATAATCTGCTGTTCAAGGATAAATGAGGAGTGATGGAAATTGCAGTACATTCATCATTATTCCTGCGTTCATAATTATACTCCTTAATATATATGTAACTCAGTAGATTATGGTTACAATGAATTATTAAGCCAAAAGTACACCATAACAGGGGAAATTAACGAATAAAAAATACAATTCTGGTCTTGATTAGTGAACTAATGATTTTTAAATAGAATATACCATGCAAATGAAATTGGTTACGTTAGATTCTTAAAACTGCAAATTTGGCCATATCACGTTCAGTTACTTTTATCTGTTCCTCTTTTTTGCCCCCCTTCATGGCTTTTAGATAGATTGTTCTATTGGTTAAGGAGCAACATACAAGAACTTTTTTCATCAGTATTTACTTGACATCTTATTGACATATAAACTATGAGTTTTTTTTCTTCTTCTCATAGGTTGGTTGATACAGCAGTTAAGACATCTCGGAGTGGATATCTACAAAGATGCCTTATTAAAAATCTGGAGTCTCTAAAAGTTGGTTACGATCATACTGTTCGTGATGCGGATGGCTCCATTATTCAATTTCGTTATGGCGAGGATGGTGTAGATGTCCATAAAAATGCCTTTATTATAAAATTTGAAGCACTTGCAGCTGTAAGAACTTGTAACCTTCAAAATCTGGATGCTTAATAGAGTTTTTTATTCATTGTTTATGTGTTTTCTGAATGATTAGATCATACCTATTTTTATTTCAGAACTGCGAAATGATTTACCAAAAAAGTCATCATCAGCCTGACAGCTTTAATCAATACATCAATGAGCTGCCTTCAGTTCTTCAAGAGAAAGCAGAAGTCATATATAATTCCTTCGCGAAGGATAAGGCTCCTGGTCTGGGACAAAAAGATGACTTTATCAGGCTGCTGGAGAATAAGTACCTGTCAAGTCTTGCACAGCCTGGAGAACCAGTTGGTGTACTCGCTGCTCAGTCTATCGGAGAGCCATCAACACAAATGACGTAAGACCCCCCACCCTGTTTCTAACTTTCAGGCTTTAATCATGTTATTTCTCTTCGAATAAGACTTCAGTTTAAGCTTTTCTTAATATATTAGGAATAAGTCATCGTAATTAGTGTTGATACTTGGATAAGAATGAACTTAGATTTCCCTGGCTGTCTTGGTTAGAAAATCAGTTGGCGGATAAGCGAGTATACTTAACAAAAGTTCAGGAAAAAAAAGTCACCTTCTCACTCTTTTTTTAAAAAGAGGAATTATTATCCCGTTAGATTGATTATATAGTGGCTGATTTCACTATCATTCTCTTTTGTTGTTGAAATGAAATGTGTCTTAGGTTGAACACATTTCATCATGCTGGGCGTGGTGAGATGAATGTGACTCTTGGAATTCCCCGCCTTCAAGAGATTTTGATGACTGCTTCACAAGATATTAAGACACCAATTATGACATGCCCGTTGCGAGAGGGCTACTCAATGTAAGTTAAAATTACTGTTTCTTGATTCATTGCTACATGGTTATTTATCTAATCTCGTTATTACCAGTGTATATGTTGTATCCATAGAGTTAATATTCTCAGTCTACATAGTGACTTCGGCCACAATTACATTAGTATTTTTTGTTTCCATTTTAGAAAAAAAGAAAAGAAATAAAGGTAAAGCTTGAAACTTATTGAACCATGGCGGAGAGAAATTTATAGATTGCAATGTATGTGAATTTTGCGGACACAAGTTAACTTGGTGATTTTGTTGGTGAAACTAACCTTACAATTGGTTACTTGACATAAGAGAGTGTACGAAAGTACAAATTATAACATGTTGGTCAATATTATTCTGAACCATAAAAATTGACTGTTATATGACAGGGATGATGCGAAGTGTCTTGCTAATAAGTTGAAGAAGATTACAGTAGCTGACATAATAGAAAGTATGGAAGTAACTGTTGTGCCATTTTCGCAACGGAAGCGAGAGATATGCAGTATTTATAAGCTTGAAATAAGATTTTACCCACTTGAAAGTAATCCACAGCATGCTCATGTATCTTCAGAAGATTTGGAAGAAATTTTGGAATTTGTGTTCGTTAGGGAGTTGGAAGATTCAATCCAAAATGAAATGCTCTTACTATCACGAATTAGTGGTATAAAAAATTTTGTGCCTGACTCACAATCAAAGGGTTTGAGTGAAAGCGATAAAGTAAGTAGCTCACAACGTGAAGAAAACGATGATGATGATGATGTTGGCAATGACTTAGATGTTGCTGAAGATCTTGGTTTTGACATGAAAAAACAAAAACTTCGAACTACTGATGAGATGGATTATGAAGATGATTCGGAAGAGGAACTCAATGTGAAAGAACCGTCAGCAGGATTTGAAAGTGAAGTTGATCAAGGTGATGAGGCTGATATAACCAATGATGATACGATGGAAATTGTTAAAGACGCTACATCTGAGGATCAGACTGAGATAATAGATGTCTCAAAGTCCAATTCGAAAGGGAAAACAACCAAAACATCAAACAAAAAGAAGAAAGCTAAATCAGAATTCTCCAGAAAGGACTATGATAGAGCAATTTTTGTGTCAGCGAAGGGAAATCATTTTGAAGTCCATTTTAAGTTTACCAATGAACCTCATATTTTACTGACGCAGGTACTTTCTCACACTCGTCTATTTTCATCTGGATCTGGTTTTTTTGTTCCTTATGTTAGCACGTGTATTTGTAGGAAGTAATCTGTTTAATCAATTTGATATGTTTCAGTATTTTTGTTGGCTCTTTTCCTTTTGTTAATTTATTCTGTTTGGTTCATAATAGCCAAGTATGTAAGCGTCTAAGGACAAGATGCCAAAATAATCTAGAATATATTAGTTAAATTATCTGAGTGAAGGCCAATTCCCTTGGTGCCTTTGAAAGTTTGCATGTCATTCCCCATTTCTGTTGAACAACTTTTCCTAACCTCTTGCACGCGTTAGTACGAACAATGCCTCTTCAATCTCTTTTGAGGTGGAGCCTTGTGCTGCTTTAGACTCTAGCTTAAAGAAAAACCATGGGTCCTTGGTATCTATCACCGTATTGGAGAGGTGTCTTTGAGAGATATTTGATAAGACGAATCCGAATTCATAGGTTCGAAACTTTTAGCTAGACAATCTCTTATAGGTTTTATTTACACATCGTACCGATATTGCAGTTGTCCTGAGAACATTATACTTCCAAATTCAAACGTGCACGCACTAAAACTATTGACGAGCAATAGCACACATATTCCTGTAGTTACTCTTAGGGTGGATGTAATTCTTCTATGCTCATTCGATAGTTAGAAAATTGTTGGTGTATATCTGTTTCTCATAATACATTGTGATTTTTTTATTTCTCCACTGACATCACTTTATGAACTTCCTTTCTGGCCTGTGAAACCAGATTGCTCAGAGAACGGCCCAGAAGGTGTCTATCCAAAGCTCTGGCAAAATCATCCGCTGTCAACAAATTACTTGCAAGGAAGGTCAGGTAATCTACCACGGGAATGATACTAAGGTAAGAAAGAATATCAAACCAGAAGAAAAGGAAAAAGTTCCTGCATTGCAGACGACTGGAGTCGACTTTAAGACGCTCTGGGAGTTACAAGATGAGCTTGATGCTAGATATATATATTCCAATGACATTCATGCCATGCTACAAACATATGGAGTGGAAGCAGCTAGGGAAACAATAATAAGAGAAATTCGAAACATTTTCAGTTCATATGGGATATCAGTCAATATTAGACATCTAACTCTAATTGCTGATTATATGACTCATTCTGGTGGGTACCGACCAATGAATCGATTAGGAGGCATAGCCGACTCAATATCTCCTTTCAGTCGAATGACTTTTGAGACGGCTGCAAGGTTCATTGTTCAAGCTGCATACCATGGGGAAGTAGACACCTTGGAAACTCCATCTGCTAGAATCTGTCTTGGTTTGCCAGTGAAGATGGGAACCGGTAGTTTTGATTTGATGCAGAAAATCGATGTCTGATGAGTCCCTTTGGCCTCATATCTTGAGTTGAGTTATTTGATCGACTAATTTAATTACCCATCAATTAATTAGTTGTTATTGGAAGAGATTGTCTGCAGTGTGTAGAATTTGGATGCTACAAGATTTTGTATTGTTAGCTTATAGTTGTATTATTTATAGTGTTTACATGTAGAAACGAACATGCAAGGATGTTGAAAAGTCCAAAAAAATGGCACAAAATTTTGTCCCGTTGAGAAATACTTAGATTGTAATTAGTATTTTATCGACGTGATATTCTGAACAGTCCTCTACTAGTTATCAAATTGCTTTAAAACATTTTCAACACGACACGACACCTCGTAGAACTTTCGATACCATTTTTACAACAACAGCCATTAACTCAGCACTTAAAAGCTTTTACTAACCTAGATCTTAATGAACACCAAGTTATAAGAACACCCAAGTGACCTTAAATGAAAACAGGAAGAAGAGAAGAACATCTTAGCAGAGAAATTGTAGTAAAATAAGCATAATGGAACAATTCTAATCTTGCTTCTCTTATTATAGCTATGTGGGCATTCTAGGATGGGATTTGGACGATTCAGTATATGCACAATCAGAGATTTCTGAAGAACTGCATTGGTTATTCAATAAAATCCTTTCATGGAGGTAAATCAAATTATTGTCTCTACATTACAAAATTATCTCTCCTCTCAGATGTCTGCAAATACTTCTTCATGCCAGTGCTTGCTATGATGTCATTCCTCTATAACGCTTGTTTCCATCGCTTGCTCCGAGTTTGGGGTGGGGCAGGGCGGATTTGTTAAGAATGCCTTTTGGGAGCTTTCTGAAGGGTGGTCGCTATTCTTCGTATGCTACCAAGCTCCAAATATCGATGGCCACCGACGACACTGCATACGAATATAGTTGTACTTAAATGACATAGGATATACCTTTGATGCAGTGAAAAGAAATTAAGATGAAAGACAATATTGGGGGGAAGCATAAGAGCCAATAGGCAATCAAATACTCACTCTGTGGCTGGGTTATCTAGGATGCAACAATTCTTGCTCAAGGGACTCAAATTCCTTAAGGTTGGTAACTACATTCTGAACTTTTCTCGATAATTGGTCGGTATGCTCTTCGACAATGTTCATAAATGCGGCGAGCTGTTCTTGGTATGTCAAACACAACCGTTTCTTATTCCGCAGCTCTGTAGTGAGTTCCTGTATTTGTTTATCTTTTTCATCCTACAAGCAAAAATTCAAAATCAACTCATTTAATCATATGATACAACATAAATACAGATCTATCACCCACAGAAAGGTTTTAACTGTGAGAATACACAAATAATCCGAAGAACTCGTGTTAGTTCACTAGTTTCCCAAACTAAGGATAGTAGGATATTCATGAGTAACTAAATGTGCTAGATGGAATGGTTGGTTGGTTTTATTTAACTGATATGTTCATTTGAGTTGGTTAAAGGGGCAGGTTTCTTCCACATATATCTAAATGAAAATCAGGGTCACACCATACTCCCAAGTAAAAGAGATAGCAGTGACATGGGCATCAATAAACTGTACACACAATAGGTTTATTAATAAACCGCTAAAAGTGAAACTTCGTGTGTAACATAGTTTCTTTATTATAATAATAATAACAACAACAATTGTAACGGCCCAAGCCCACCGCTAATAGATATTGTCCTCTTTGGGCCTTCTCTTTCGAGCTTCCTCTCAAGGTTTTTAAAACGCGTCTCTGCTTGGGAGAGGTTTTCACACCCTTATAAAGAATGATTTGTTCTCCTCTCCAACCGAGATGGGATCTCACAACAATACTTTCATAATGGAAAAAGAAAAAAATCCTAGATGGTGCTAGACACCACAACGGTATAAAACAATCCCCAACACAACATTGAGCAATACGAAACTAAAGTCAAGAACAATCTAAAATATAGGCCAAAGTATGGAGAATCGCACAAAGATTAGAAAGACAGATGAAACTAGAAGCTTCTCCCTTAAAGCAAGGTCACAACTATAGTTTATATACGTGACATTTAATCCTTTTACACACAAGTCCCTATTGACCGTTTGTGAGGTCCCACATCAGTTAGAGAAGGGTACAAAGCATTCTTTAAAAGGGTGTGAAAACCTCTCCTTAGCAGACCCGTTTTAAAACCTTGAGGGGAAGCCCGGAAGGAAAAGCCCAAAGAAGACAACATCTGCTAGCGGTGGGCTTGAGCTATTACAACTGATATCAGAGTCAGATATCGGGTAGTGTGTTAGCAGCTCTGAAGGGGGGAGGATTGTGAGATCCCACATTGATTGGAGGGGGAACAAAACATTATTTATAAGGGTGTGTAAACCTCTCCCTAGCATACGCGTTTTAAAACTTGAGAGGAATCCCAAAAAAGACATTATCTGCTAGCGGTGGGCTTGGGCTGTTACACAGTTGGCCAGATGTAAGGCAAAGGTGTTTTCACTTCCATCTCCCTAAACAATATAATTGATTCTCTTGAACGATCCATTAAATAGCTCTCCTTGTTTAAAGAAATTCAGATTCCAATCATTTCCAATTCCATAACATCTTTGCAGAATAGTAAGGATACCACACTGGCAAAGAATACAGTCTTACTGAGAGCAAAAGTAAGCAAATCTACAATTGTAATATATGATGATAGATGGAAGTAAAAGAACGGGGTAAGAGAAACACGAACCATCGTCTGCCGAGCTTCACGGGGCGAAACCACAAGAGGATGATTATGCTCCTTTACAAATTTTGTAATCACCCATTTCCCAGACTTATCATATTTGACATGAATCATTGCCTTGCAGCCTTCTCGAGTGCTCGGCCGAGGCTTCCGAACTGCCCCAAATTTACCTCGAATGCTGACACAATACCCCTCTTTATTGCATCCAAGTCGTCGCGCAAGTATCCTCCCATCTTTTTCAGAACGACGACAGGACATCACACGCATGACAAATCCCACTTGACGGGCATACTTATCATAGAAAATTTTAGCAGCATCTTCAGATTCAAATTCCATGCCCTCATAAGGCTCAAGAATAATATCACCATGACATTCAATTAATTCCGTCGCTGCTGGACTTTCAAATGATCCTCCCTCATCTGCGTCCACTGTCAGAAGACATCTTTCACTATTATCTCTCAAATCCATCTGAAAGTTACCAATTTCTAGAAAAATTAACTAAATCACTAATGAAACAAGCAGAAAAAAGAGATATACGATCGCAGAAAATTCATCAGAAATGGGAGAGACACAAAGAACAGCAGATACAAAACATCAACAATTCCCCATTTGCAAAGTTAGATCATCCAAACGAAAAATGGCGGCGCACACAAGAACCGAAAACCACACAACAACCAAAAATGGAAAGTAGTTTCATCAATTACTTCAAACTCTGTGAAGCGAATTTCCCAATATGTCCAGTATACATAAATGACAATTCAATTTCCAACAAACAATGAAACCCAGAAGAACAATACAGTATCTAAGGGTATTCAATTCAATCCTGACATCAGAAATTCAGTCTGCAAGCGAGAGGATTGGCGAAACAAGAGAAATAAGAACTGCGATTAGAAACAATACCCTGATTAGAAGTAAAAGAATTGATTGGGCAGAAGGAAGAAAGAAGGCGAGTGGCGGCGTCTGTTGTGCGAAGTTATGTGAAAGAAGCTTCCCGAGAGAGCGACGATGGAGAAAAATGGGTGTAAAAAACGACGGTGGGAAGGAAAGATAAGACGGTAAAAACAGAGATGAGTGTGTCTTGTTCCTCAAATCGGGTGGGGCTTTGGGCTTACATCCAAATTTTGGTGGTCCAATTAAGGGGTTTTTTTTTATTATTTAAAAATACCTTTAAATTTTATAAATTACTTTAAAAAAAATTAATTTTTTTTTTTTTTAGAATTTCAATAATACTTTTAAACTTGGTCTCTTACCCAAGTTCAGAGACAAACCCGCTTAGCTTATGTTCATGGTTCAACACATCAAGTGCAGTTTGACCTAGTCAGCTTTGGTTGACGCACCCAGCTTTAGTTAACACGCGGTTCAATACATCAAGCTCTAGTTCACCCTAATTTGACATGTCCAACTCTAATTCACACAGGTTTAAGTCGGTTTAATTTTATACTCAAATTGGTTTAATGTATTAATTTTCCTTCTAATTCTCATAAAATACAATATCTAGTTCAATCAAATTAAATGCATGTAATTCACCAAGCCAAATTAAATTCGATCCCAACAAAAGCAATTTTTAAGAAGAACGTGCCCAAGAGGGCACTGCAAGATGTTGTAGATGAACGTCTCCAAGAATGAGTTTAGTATATCATAACTAATCCCACTATGGACGGGACTGGACCATACACGCACTACACGAGTAGAAGGGCCAACCTTTGTCCCGGGTGCGTAGGGCCGATCCCATTTTTGTTACATGGTAGGTCCTGCACTATAAACTTCTGGTTGAGAATGTTGATTAAAGTGAACAAGTTTAGAGTTGGAAACAAAGATGTAGTTGAGGATGTAGCATATGAGCTAAAAGCAACTCTCTGCTGCCTCATCTTCCTTCATTAAGTAACAACAAAAGCTGAGTCTTTCATTGGATTTCCCAAAGCAAATTTCAGACACAAAAGGTGTGGAAAGATTGACATAAAGTCCCACATGAACTAAAGCAACTGGCTATCATACCATACCAACCAGATATTTGTAGCTCAATCATTATTCATCGAGAAAATGAAACTAAATTCAAATTACCATCGATAACAGATATTGTCCACTTTGACATGTTACGTATCATCGTTGGCCTCACGGTTTTAAAATACGTCTACTAGGGAGAAGTTTCCACACTCGTATAAGAAATGCTTCTTTCCCATCTCCAACCAATGTGGGATACCACAATCTACCTCCCTCAGAGGCCAGTGTCCTCACGACATACCGCCCGGTGTCTATTTTTTATACCATTTGTAACTATTATGAGATCCCACATTGGTTCGAGAGGGGAACAAGACATTTCACATAAGGGTGTGAAAACCTTTCTCTAACATACGTGTTTATAAGTGAAGGAGATGATTTGAAAACATTGCAGCTTGCTCCCACCATCTAAAGTTTGCAGAAAGAAACACAAAAAGACCAAAGATGTCTTCATTTTAATGCCCTAATGTCCTACTCTCACTTCATTAGAGATGCCCAAATTGATATATGATCATCCACATAATAAGCCTCCTTCAACATTCGTACTTGTTTTAAGCAAAGAATATTAATGCATTTGGAACTTCACCACACCACACCACACCATTCCCCACATTTCCTTTATTGTTTCCCCTTTGATACAACTTTTTGCATTGAAATATCCTTTTCTACTTTGGTAAAATGGGATGTGATCCTTATAGGAAGCTGTTGAAAGTGCTCTTTTTTTTAAAAAGAAAAACCCTTTTCCTTTTCAAGTTTACCTCCCATTTGCATGTCTTTTTATTAGGTAAATACGTCACTTCTAATCTACGAGAGGAGTACATAAATGAATCGAAACCACATCCGAATTGAGAGATCCTACAAATAAGATGGCTAAGAAAGCCTTGAAAGTTACTGTGCCTATATCAATAAAGTGCATCTTTTTTTTCGGTGGCTCAATCCTAAGAACTCCAATTGGGTATAAAACATGCTGATAGGACTGTAACATGACCATGTAATAGGAGAATGTCGGAATCCCCAGATGCTAACTTTGGATTTCGGATCTTGGGTATAGGGTGTTACGATTTAACCCCTGTAATACATAGACAAAGATGTTACATACAAAAGCTAGGAACTATTACTTTCACGAAAGTCTATGGACGAGAATATTGTTTAACCTAATTTTAGGTTGAGAGTAGAAGAGTATGGGAAGCATAGCATGTTGTGGTTGAGTCCAAAAAGAGAGGGAGTGGGGAAGGCATTGCATATTTTGAGGTGAAAGTAAAGAGAAGAAGAAGATGTATGATTGAATAAATAAGAGTAAGAGTGTCCTTTTTGGGTTGGTTTGGTTTGGTGTGATTAAAGGGAATAGGTTTTGTGTTGATGGGTATGATATGTAAACATTTATGGACAAAGGGTTTGAAGAAGGAAAGAGACATCTCATGAACACAATCAATCATGCACTATCCTTAAAGGAAAGCCTTTCCCTTAAACCCATTTACACACTAAAAGGAGCAATGCCTCAAATTGTGGTAGGGTCTCCTATTTCCCAAAGGGGTAGGAACCTTTCTTCTACGTATGCAATACATTGCAAGTTGATATTGTTTATTTTGACATGTTACGTATTGCCATCAGCCTCACAGTTGTAAAACACGTCTACTAAGGAGAGGTTTCTACACCCTTATAAGAAATGTTTCGTTCTCCTCTCCAACTGATGTGGGATCTCACAATCCACCTCCTTTAGGGGCTCAGCATTCTCACTACCACATCGTCCGGTGTCTGGTTTTGATACCATTTGTAACAGTCCAAGCCTATCACTAGTAGGTATTGTCCGTTTTGACTAGTTACACATTGCTATTAGCCTCATAGTTTTAAAACGTGTGTCCTAGGGAGAGGTTTCCACACCCTTATAAGAAATGTTTCGTTCTCCTCTCCAACTGATGTGGGATCTCACAATCCACCTCCTTTAGGGGCTCAACATTCTCACTAGCACATCGTCCGGTGTCTGGTTTTGATACCATTTGTAACAGTCCAAGCCTATCACTAGTAGGTATTGTCCGTTTTGACTAGTTACACATTGCTATTAGCCTCATAGTTTTAAAACGTGTGTCCTAGGGAGAGGTTTCCACACCCTTATAAGAAATGTTTCGTTCTCCTCTCCAACTGATGTGGGATCTCACAATCCACCTCCTTTAGGGGCTCAACATTCTCACTAGCACATCGTCCGGTGTCTGGTTTTGATACCATTTGTAACAGTCCAAGCCTATCACTAGTAGGTATTGTCCGTTTTGACTAGTTACACATTGCTATTAGCCTCATAGTTTTAAAACGTGTGTCCTAGGGAGAGGTTTCCACACCCTTATAAGAAATGTTTCGTTCTCCTCTCCAACTAATGTAGGATCTCACAATCCATCTCTTTTAGGGGCCCAACATTCTAGCTAGCACATCGCCCGGTGTCTAGTTCTGATACCATTTGTAACAGCCCAAACCTATCACTAGAAGGTATTGTCCGTTTTGACTAGTCACGCATTGCTATTAGCCTCACAGTTTTAAAACATGTCTACTAGGGAGAAGTTTCCACACACTTATAAGGAATGTTTCGTTCTCTCCTCCCACCTATATGGGATCTCACATCGGGACAATCATATATGATAGATTGATTTGAAAAGGGTTATGAAGAAAAACAAGGTATGAGTGATGAAAAGGAGAAGATGAGAAAGAAGAAAATGGTGAAGATATGAAGAAGAAGAAGAAGAAGAAGAAGAGGCAGAGATTCAAAGAGGTGTGTCTGACAGAGAAGGACAGAGAGAGTAATAGTCAAAGAGTTAGTGAAATGTCGTATCAAATGTACAGTTTATCCATCAGAAGAGGGATGTGTGTATGCAGTGTAGGAAGCATTTGTACAATATTTATGTCCCCACATACCCTCCCTCTTCCATTCTTCACTCTTCTTCTTTCTTATCCTTACCCTTCTGCCTCTCTCTCTCTCTCTCTCTCTCTCTACAAAAGCTGCTACCACTACATATTCCACTGCAAATCCCCTTCTTATTACACCCCTTCCTTAACCTCTCGTTACACTTTCTAGCCCACCGCTAGTAGATACGTATTGTCCTAAAACCTTTCTAGCCCACCGCTAGTAGATACGTATTGTCCTAAAACCTGTTTGTTAGGAAGAGTTTTCTACACTACTCTTATAAGGAATGTTTTGTTCTGACGTGAGATCGCACACATTCATCCCATTCATTCTTATATCAGTAATAGGTCTCTTTGTAGCTATGTTGTTTTCTTTCTAAGTAATGGGTCTCGTTGTATCTTTGTCGATACGATGCATATAAAAACGAGTCTCTTCGTCGTTTCTTTAAAAGATATTGGAACTTTGATGTGTTTTTTTAAAGTGGGTTTGTGGTTGATTTACATAAAAGAAAGAACAGCCTATGTATTGATTGATTTATGTTACCATAATTATAACCACATATAATGTTTTTTTTCCCCATATGTTTGTGATTATTAGTTTTTAGCTACTACTTTTGTGATAATTTGCGTCAATTATAAGCTAAGAGTTAAGCTATTCATTGTACCATAGCTTTTAGCTTTCATTTTCTTTTAGTTTAATAATTACGAGAGTGAAGATCGACCTTGTTACTAACCATTGATGTTTTATCTACTAAATTATGATTGAACTGATAAGACGTGTAGGACATTCCAAACCCACATGAGATCGATCAATGCTCGTATTTCAATAGCTTTCCGTAATAACTAGAATTTAGATATTCGAAAATCGAATCAAACTATAAAGTTGATAGCTCAAACCCACATATATTTCAAGAACATAATAAATGTACACTGGCTCTCTCTTAAGCTTTGAAATTTTAGGGATGAGTTGGTGAATTATACGAACCATGATGAAGATCTTAAAAGGAAAACTAATGATACAAAAGATAGAACAAAAAAGCCTGAAAACAGCTGAATGTATATATATATATAATGAGGTGGGTATTGTGAGATGAACAATGGGTGTCTTCTTTTACGCACATCAATCAACTTTCTTTGACCTTTTATGGAACTCTAATTACTCGCACCATTTATGGCTTCCATGTATATGCGTACGCCTACATAT